TTTAAAAAATCCCAGAAATGTGACTGAGAATGAAAAAAGTCTAGAAAGCATTAGGAAGTGTCACAAAAATCACTATACCTGTTAAAAGGGGATGTCTTAAAAACAATGCATATAGACCAGGGGTCAGCAACCTTTTTCAGCTGGGGGTCGGTCCACCGTCCCTCAGACCATGTGGTGGGCCAGACTATATTTTAAAAAATGGAACGAATTCCTATGCCCCACAAATAACCCAGAGATGCATTTTAAATAAAAGCACACATTCTAGTCATGTAAAAATATGCTGATTGTGGGCTGGATTGAGAAGGTGATTGGGCCACATCCAGCCCATGCACCTTAGTCTGCCTACCCCTGATATAGATGGAAAGATGGAAATGATGATATTGAAACTCATTGCTGTATCTACAAAACATAGTTCACAGAAAATGTGAAATGTGAAACAAAATGAACTACAAATTGAGCACGTCTTTTGCTGTCAGATGGCCCCATTAAAAGACAGGTTGTGGGTATCAAGGTTACAGAAACCTGCACCTCAGTGCTTGGAGATTTATTGCTGCTAGGAGTAAATTGTACTGGCCTGTAGGGACCTATTGTGAGTATCCAGTTCATCTGTACATTTGTGTGAGAGTCCTGCTGATGAGAAACACCTTTAGTAAATCGAAGAAATATTAAAAGGATGCTGTTATGATCCAAAATACAGTATTTAGGCTGAAATAGAATTCACATGTACTTGTCAGTGAGACACACTTGAGATTCTCAGTAGACATGGGTAGGGTTACACTACAAAGAGAGTTGTGCTGTGAATTTCTAATTCTTCACAGGGTTGGAACTGAATGCACTTGGTATTTTTGGTAATGCTAAATACTCTTTGGAAGTTCCAAGAAGAATGAGTTTGATTATGCCCAGTGCTATTTTTCTAGAAAAAGAGCTGCCGGAACTCACCATGAACACCTCCCTTGTTCTCCTATACTGGCAATGATGCCCACTTGAGAGATGTCAGAACTGAGTTCTGGTGAGTTTCGGCTGGAAAAAAGCCCTGATTATTCCCAGATATGATTAAGAATGTATGAGTTGCATCGAGTTACATTATACTTAGGACAGACCCATTAAAATGAATGGGCACGGTTAATTAAGTCCAGTGATTTCAATGAGCGTACTCTGAGTATAACCAAGTTGGCCACAACCCAATGTTTTGGAGGCGTATTTTGTGTTTTAATATTTGCTGTGCTACTGTGTCAAGAAAAAAGAAAAGAAATTCATGAGTGAAGACAGGGATGAAGATGTATGATGACATAGAATAACCACAGGAAAAAATAGAATGAAAACTGTGATCAAAGCCAGTTGGAAGGAATGCAGGAGGACATGTGAGCAGAACACTCTCTTTTTGAGCAGACAGTTGTGGATGGTAATTTTTAATACCTGCATGGATTACTTGTATCCAGGTACCAGGTAATGTCAGAATACCCTTCATGTGACACAGAAAGCGGTGGACAAATGAACAAGAAACAGCAGGAGAAAGTACACCTCTTTTTCAGCAGCACCCTCAATTGCACCAACATTTTCTTCTGTCCAATCCAATAAGTCACGTCTCCGGATCAGGAACTCTCAAAGTGATTACTTGGGTAACACAAGGGAATGAAGGAAGGAAAATAGCAAGGGTACTACTACAGCTTGTCAATCAGCTGCTTAACCACCATATAAGCCCAGACCAACTGGGGACCAGGTTACCTGAAGGAGTGCCTGCCCCTGAACAGACCTTTCAGACCACATAGGTCACATAGGTTACTTGTGGCACTGTATTATACAAAATCAGCCCTGAGTGCTCACTGGAAGGACAGATTGTGAAGCTGAGGCTCCAATACTTTGGCCACCTCATGAGAAGAGAAGACTCCCTGGAAAAGACCCTAATGTTGGGAAAGATTGAGGGCACAAGGAGAAGGGGACGCAGAGGATGAGATGGTTGGACAGTGTTCTCAAAGCTACCAGCATGAGTTTGACCAAACTGTGGGAGGCAGTGGAAGACAGGAGTGCCTGGCGTGCTCTGGTCCATGGGGTCACAAAGAGTCGGACACGACTAAATGACTAAACAACAACAACAATCATACAAAAAAAATCATCTGTCATACAAAAGGCACCATCTATTAGTTGCTTCGGATGTCTTGTTATCATTCTGCCTAGGCTCTTCCCAACCCATGAGATTGGATCCTGTTAGTTCAGAATTCCTGTTTTTACCTCTTACTGGTTTTATAATGCAGTTTTACTGCCTTTACAGTACTATACTGTTTTGTGGAATTAAAAAAAATAGCAGGGTGTTAGTTTTTTAAATAAAAAAATTAAATAATTTTTTTTAGAAATCCTTACGTAAGCTCATCAGATAATACTGGTGGAGGTTCTGTACTGAAGGTTAGTGAACTGGAGACAATGAAGCTCTGGGAAGCAATAACACCAATGATGAGGTCTCCTGACTGATGATACTTGTCAAATGGAGGGTGAGGAAAATGAACCCTGCATTGAATATTATGAGCCTTGCATGCCATGTGAGGAAGCAGAACCAGCACCACCAGCACTAATAGGACCATCCTAGAATCCAAATACAAATCTTCATTTGATAAACTTTTTTATTCTCTCCCCCCCCCCCTGCATCTGTAGCTGAATATTAAGACTGCAATCCTATACATACTTTCTTGGGAGTAGGTCTCATTGAACTCAATACGGCTTACCTCTGAGTAGGCATGTATAGGATTGCAGTATAAGAGTCTCTATGGTCACAATTTGATTTGAGCATTCATTCAGTGTACTGATAGGCTTAAAGACAGGAGTATAAATCTTCTTGTTCCTTTTCTTATTTCTAAATGGTATTAGGTATATTTATATTTCACAGTATTTGCTACTCATTTAGCAAGTGGTCACTAAAACACCTCAGTTTTGTTTTGTTTTTTACAAGCAGCAAAATGATTACAGCTCTTTTGATAATTAAAGGAAAGACAATCACCAGATCCAGGTTTGAAGATTCCCTGTGGAATTGCAGAAGAAAATTTGTTTTTCACAGGTGAACATTTTCTCCCACCCAAGACAGGAATATTTCTATTTAGAATTATCCACAGAAAAAGAATGTCATCACAAATTACAGTACTGTGGTATGCGACAGAGAACAGGAACATACTTGTTGCTAATGAAGCATGGGTTAGAAATTGAATAATAATCACTCTTGCTCAGTTATTGTTCCATTCCAACTCATTGTATGTATTTACATATTTTTAGCAGCTTCATAAAAAAATCCAATTTAAATTGAATGTCTTTAATACACAGTTTTATGTAAAATCTGAACCATTTAATTATAAAATATTTTTCAATACATTCATCCATAAAATGCACATTTTGTCTGCATCTTATATGTCAAATATCTGTACTGCAGAAGGTAGGTGTAGCCAACTTTTATGCATTGCTGACTGACCAGACATGGCCAACAGCTAATGCCCATCCGGCTGGCAAGGCTCTGCCCTTCAGCAGGGCCTCCTACCGGCCCATCTGAAGACAGTATTTGGCTGGAGATTCCTAGATTCTGCCAGCTGGGGAATTCCCCTAAGGGCTGGCAAGACAATGTGGGCCCTAGCTGCTGTGCACTGTGGGCAGAGGTGAGGTGTGCAACTAGAGAAGCCCATTTTTTGTATAGAAGCTGTATCAAAAAATCTGGAGAATTGCATAATTATACTGAAAACTGTCCTGTGATCATCGAATGAAGGGTGGTATAGAAAATTAAGAAATAAAGTAAATAAATAATTGAACTGAGAGTTGAATTTCGATTCACTGGAAAGCTTGAGCATGTTGGCCAACTGTGAGAAGTAGACCAAATACTTTTGTCACCTCCTCTACTGTTCAAGGTTTATAGCAACCCTCCCATTCCTTTACTCCCCATCACATATATCTATTTATAATAGCACAGAGCAGGAAAAAGCTCAAGAGGCATAGTAGCATTTTTAACATAGTTTTAACAGAGCATAGCCCTCTCTTGCTTTGATTGTTGGCCACTCAGATTACCTGCTGCTATTCCTGATGGTAGAGAGTAATTATTCTGCATTGTTTCCAAAACAATACATAATGAAGTTCTACTCAGAGCCCCAGATTTCAATGCCATAGAACATTTGGGTAAGCATTTTGCTGCCAAATATCTTTAAGGCAGGTTCAATTAGCTGCCCTCCATTATTGTAGTATAACTTCATTAATGCCCCAATGGTTTTCTGTGTCTTTACTTTAACTGCATCCATATGACACTTCCAAGGGAGGGTTTCATCAAAGAGAACACCCAGGTATCTAAATGAAAGATTTAGAGAAAAGAAAGAAAGTTTCTTCTATAACCTGCTGATCCAGGAACCATCTTATGAACTGCCCTGAGATCTTCGGATGAGATCTCCAAAAGATTTTTGAGACAGAATCAGAGAATAAAGAAAACCACTAAATCATCTAATCAAGGCTGGGAAAATTCTGATCCTAATTACTAAAGAGGGGGTGTATACTATATCAGTAAAAACCATGGGAGCAAGAATGCAACATTGCTTCACTCCTCATAATGTTTTAAAAGCAGTCATCATTCTACCATTTAAACCTACTCTGACCCTCATTTCTGTGTTGCTGTATACTTCTGGGATGGAAGTTTGCCGTTTTTATATTACATGGTGTTTCAACAACTACGAAAATATTCTATATTGAGAGAGAAATGTTCGCAAACCTTAGGGGTCATGGACACACACGTATGGATTGCAGACTATGATAACTAGCAGTGTGCATTATTTGGGCACAATATTCAAGTCTTTCTTTTCATCAACTGTTCCCTGCTGTTCAGCTCAGGCTTCAACATAATTATGTAACACTTTGGAGAAAATATGCAAACCAGCAACCCAGCACTGGAAGCTAAGATGGCAAATATCTCTACAGCCACCATGTATTTTCCCTTGGAGCTCACATAGCTTGGAACAAAGGACAACCAAACACTACAAAACACTAGCAAACTGAATGTGATAAACTTGGCTTCGTTGAAACTGTCTGGCAACTTCCGAGCAAGGAAAGCAACGATGAAACTGATAATAGCCTGAAAGCCCAAATAGCCCAAGACACAGTAGAACATAGCCACAGACCCCTCATTGCATTCCAGTACAATTTCTTCAGGCGTGGAATTATTGTCAACATCAGGGAATGGTGGAGTGGTTGCCCACCATATAGAACAAATAACTGTTTGGATAAGGGAACAGGGGAAAACAATGAAAGTGTCCAGCTTTCTCCCCGCCCACTTCCTCATCTGGGATCCTGGCTTGGTGGCCATGAAAGCTAGAACCACTGTGATGGTTTTTGCTAGGACACAGGAAACAGCCACTGAGAAGATCATGCCAAAAGCTGCTTGTCGGAGGAGACATGTCACCTTCTGAGGCTGTCCAATGAATAGCAATGCAGAAAGGAAGCAGAGGAGGAGGGAGAGGAGAAGAGTGTAGGTGAGCTGCCGGTTGTTGGCTTTGACAATGGGAGTGTTGTGATGCCTCAAAACCAATCCTAGCACCATAGCCGTAATCAAAGAAAAGGAAAGAGCCAAAGATGCTAAACTGATTCCCAAAGGTTCTTCATAAGACAAGAAGCTTATATCCTTGGGAACACAAGAATCCTTATATTTGTTTGGGTGGTTTTCATCTGTGCATTCATGACAGTCATTCATATCTGTGGGAGAATATCTTTTTAACATGCCAGAACTTTTCTACATATTAGAATATACATATTAATTTTATTCAATTGCATTCTTAAACTACTTAATATTTTAGAAGAAACACTATACATACATAAATAGAAAAACAAATATGAAACCATTCTGGAAAAAAAAGAAAAATGAAAAGAAACAGGTGAATGAAAAAGAAACAGGTGAAACTGCACTACAGAAGTAACAGGGTCCATATTTATAGGGTAAAATACCACATATTCTCTTCAAATTACAGACTGAATTAAGAATAGAGTTATTGTCAGCGACAAACAGGAATCTGAGGGGGCAGAGGAGGCTGGTGAGGAAGAGGATCATCCGAGGAAGGAGACAGTGTTTTGTCGGGTCCTCTTCCACCTGTAAGGCAGCTGCCGGGGTGGAGGAAGAGGGGAGTCATAAGGAAGAGACCAGGCAGGCAGACACAGGAAAAAAGGAGGCAGAGGAAGATCTTCAGGAAGGGCTGTAGGAAATCGTGAAGTCATGTGTTCTGCCCTTCTCCGTGATAGGTCTGGAGGCCAGTTCCCTGCTTGTCAAATGCTCTCCTTAGGAAGGCTCACCTGCCACCTTTGTTACATATCTTTAGGGACCAGGCAAAAACATTCCTCCTCTCCCATGCCTTTGCTAATTGAACAATATATGACCTTTTATACTGTGGGGTTTTGTTTTCATTTGTTACTATGGAATGCATTATTGTGTTTTTATATTGTAAACTGTGCTGTGATCCTGGAATGAAGGGCAGTATAGAAATTTAATGAAGAAGAAGGCAGCATAGGGGATGGGGTCACACAGTTGCATTAACTGTCTGAGACAGAGCACAGGTATGCAGAGGTAGATTGCCTAGACAGCTAGTTAGCAGGAAGTAGTGTGTAAATCCTTTGCACCTTAGGAGCTGAGTGCTTTCCTAATAAAGAACTAAAATGTCATTAACTTGTCTTCATCAGTCTAGGTTTGTTCAGGACAGTTATGTTAACACCACTCCCTAAATATATTTTGATTCAATCAAATAACTATGATGAAGAGATGGTGATTAATTTTCATACCCAAAATTGTCAACTTTTTTTGCTGGCTAATCTTAACTTTGAAAAATGAAAAGGGCTCTTTGCTTGGGCTGTTTACAAGAAGAAGCTTTCAAAGAGCCCTGTTCAGCTTTATGCAAGCCCCTATACTGCAGGCAGACTCATAGAGCTTGAAGTCAGTGCCGACCAGCTGATAGGACCTGACATAAGCTTTCTCTTTTTGCTTGGACCAGCTGTGCTACAGAGTTCACCATGTGGCATTCCATAGCACAGCTGATCCCAGATAGTTTGCTCTCACCACCAACCAGCTGCTTTTTGGCAACACTGAGCCCCACTTTAAGGTTCCCAATTGTACACTGGCAACACAATTTATTCTGCCCCTTATCTGACATCACCTGTTGTATCAGGTATTGAGCAGGTCAATGTCATTTGGGGAGAATGGCCTCAAGGTTACTTGCTTCAAAGAAGAATTCACACCCTCCCACAGCCAAGACCTCAGCTAGATGTGATGCTGCACATGTCATTTGAAATTGCAAGATTTCTTTCATTCATGTGAATGATCAGGATCATAATGTGCAAGGTGAGTACAGTCAAACCTCGGTTGTCAAACATAATCTGTTCTGGAAGACCCTTCAACTTCTGAAATATTTGACATCCGAGGATCCAAGGGCGGTCGAAAGTCAATGGAGAAAAAAGGGGGGAAACTTTTCAGCATTCGAAAATTGAAACGTATGATAACGGAGGCGTCTGGGAACTGAGGTTTGACTGTATTATCCCTTTAATACCCTGCTATGATCTTAATAAGAACTCCCCCTAGTGTGGAAGGAGATTAAATACTGGTCCACATGGCTAGAAAGATTCCTCACCACTGCTTTATATGTATGTTTTACAGCTGATGCACTCATTGAATGTTGGAGTATATTTCTTACCTTTCTTATCTGAAATCTTCCCTTCAGGACAGGGGATGCATTCATAGCAGCAGAACGGTTCCCCTTCCTTCACTTTCTTGCTAAAACCAGGATAGCAGCTCTCACTACATACAGAGTGAGGCTGAACCTAAACCATAAATGAAAGAGGACAATGACTATTTTGAGAATAATGATCTTAGACACTTGAAAGTACTGGGCCCTTACACTGTTTGTGAGGAAGTTTGGGGCTGTTACTCAATGTGTTATACAACCATTCTAATATTGGACATGCTGGGAATGTTAATAGTGCTGTGCCCTGACTTTGCATGTAACCTCAATGCTGAACTGAGGGAACCCCTTGGACAGATAAAGGATTTGTGAACTGAAGTAGGATCTCTTCAAAGCACCCCCAAAGTGAAGCAGAGGCCTCTAAAATGATTCTGCATAGACCTTGTGTCTGCAAAAACTGAAACATTTGTTCTCAAACTTGCTACAATTTCTACCCCCCTTCTCCCAAAAAACAAGCAATTGTGGTGAGGGGGGATTCTGAAGAACACCTGACAGGTTCAGGGTGGGAGACTCTTTGTGACTGACAGGTCTAATTCCTAATGAGTGGTAATGCATGTATCATGGCTTTTTCAATCACTGTGCTTTGGAAAAGGGCAGTGTCAGCCCATACATGAGGCAAAACAAGGTCACTGCTTCAGATGGCAGGATCCAAAGGGGCAGCAGATTTGACCTCCAGGAAATGCGTAGCACACTGCAGCTGCTGTGCACTATGCATTTGAATCCTAATTATATAAGTTTAGGAATATCAGAAAGGAAAACCAATCAATCAAGCTCCGTTCTCTCAAACGGTAAAGGATGCCCCTTTAGGGGAAAATAAACTGTAGATATGCTTCTGAAATTAAGCATGGTCCATCCCCTCAGAGTGGAATGATATGCCTGCAAATAACAAAGACTTCTGTCAAAGATGAAAAAGACAGTTTTAAATAGTTCATCTATCCCACCCCGCCAAAGAAGACCTCACTTAGGGCTGTGTTTTCATTTATAGATATTGCTTTTCCACTTCCTAGTAAGAGCAGATCCATTGAAATCACTGAACATAATCCAGACTAACTAGACCATTGATATCAATGAATTGGCTTCGAGTTGAATAACATCCAATGACTGCAGTTCCACAAATTACAAGAAGAAGGGAAAAGAGGTGCCTATGCAGGTAATCCTCCTCCATTCTCTTTCTAATGAATATATTGATCAATACATAAACAGTACAGAAGTCTTTGGGGTTGTTGTTTTTTTGCCTTAATAACTGTTTTTACAGATGAAATTCAGTATTTTTCAAGGGTCGACCACTGTCAGATGAAATCAGCTTTGCATACCAGGTAAGAGCCCTTAATAAAATAGTGGTAGACCATCCAAACAGCCAGTGCCTACCTGGTTAAATGATCTGGGCCAGGTTATGACCTTCTCATTGATGGTAAACCTTTGACCCTGGGGAGCCAGGGGATCCAGCATTCCAACTCTTACTCTATGATAAGAATGGTTGGAGGACTTGACCCAGTTGATAACATCAAACCCAGCTGTTAACTCCCCATTCTTGTCAAAAAAAATCTTGTCTCCAGCACTGTTGTTAAATGTGACACCACGTAGAAAGAGATGGAGCTAGAGTGAAAAGGACAAGAAAAAAGTTTAGAAAAGGTTGTAATTTGATCTTGGAAACTGAAGAGTGGTAGATAAGTGCTCACTATTTTCGGCCCAGAGTTTGCAGGAGGATGCACTACATGAATCAGCAAAATTACAATGATGTATATACTATGGGTGGACACAGCCCATGTCCCATATTTGCCATTAGCTCAATCCAGAGGACTCAGTCAGTTTGGCCCATGCTTTCATCATCACCATCATACCAGTATGGCTGGAAGATGAGCAGAAAGAAGCACATGTTGCATCTGCTACCCTCACTCTGTGAGCAGAGTGGGATCAATTCTGTGGGGTGCTTCTTCCAAAGTGACTTTTCTGCAAGGAAGCCTCTTGTAAAAGAGCACCCTCCATCATGCATGATAAATCTCATTGCTGTTGCATTGAGGCATTGATCCCAGGGGCTGCTGCTTCACAAGTGGCTTTCCTGCAGGGATGTCAGATGCACAGACCCCTCTGAATAGGCCTGATTTGGCTCCAGACTCAGCCGACTCCAGCAAGTTTATGGAACAAATCTCTGTGTTGAGCTCCACCTAAAGTCGGCACTGAAAGCAGTGCTTTTTTCTGGGGAAATGCAGGGGGACGCATACCCCTAAATGTTTTGTGAATCTAAGTTTGGCCTCATTGAGGGGCAGTATTTCAATATGAGTAAGAAAATGAGAGTACCCCTAAACATTTTTTTTTTAAAGCACTGACTGAAAGTATATACTAGAGATGAGGGAAATTGCAGCCTTTCAGATGTTATACTCCATTATCCTTAACCATTGCCCATACTGGCAGACAGTGAAGAGAGCGGGACTTCAATTGTGTCTGGAGCGTAACAGGTTCCCCATACTGTATATGGTGTAAAAAGTTAGTAAGGTGATAGAGGAAAAGCCACAGTTGATGAATATTTTGAGCGGAAGAGTCCAGAGATTGAATCATTTTTGAAGAACAGAAGAATCAACTCTACCCCTCTTCAGATATGATTGACCTAAGAGACAACATAAGGAGAGCACAGCTGCTAAGAGGCAAGGCCAGCACACCCATGAGGTTAGGTGAGGAGATTGCCTCAGGCATCAGGATCCACAGGAGCAACAGATTTAGCCTCCAAGGCAGAGCTTTCCAAACTTTAATGCTGGTGACACACTTTTTAGACATGTATCATTTCGCGACACAGTATTCAGTTTTACTAGCAAACCGGAGGTTTAACTAACCCCTTATAAGAGATAGGGACACATACATAAATTGTAAAAGTGAAATGTATGGGGACACAACATATCTCTTGATCTGCACACTCCTGATCAGGGAGGAGCACAAGGAACGTTCGTATGGCACACCTACATGCTGCAGCCAACACATTAATGTGTTGCAACACACAGTTTGGAAAGCTCTGCTCCAAGGAATGCAACACCTGCTATTGCTGCCAAGGTGGCAGCAGCAGCTGCATCATGTTCCTTGCAGGCTAGATTCAATTTTTTTGAGCCAAAGCAGCAAAGGCAATTATGGACATTTCTCTCCCCCTCTCTAATCCCCAGCACATGGGTACAAAATCAATTCTAGATGCTTATCCAGTTCTCCAGAACATATTTCAGATTGTTTTGGGGGTGAGGCACTGCAGAAGGTAAGGAAATCCCCCTCCCTGCGAAAATCCCCTTCCCTGCTCAACCTCCAATAGCAGATCCCGCCAACTGGATCAACAGTGCTTGGGGGCCCAACTGTCGCCTTCCCCAAACACTGGTGGGTCTCACATTCAGAACACTAAAGAAAGCTTGCAGCTGTTTCATGGCCATTTCCTTGACCAATTTATCTGTTTTTAAAATGATGTGGCCATGTTAGAATTCATAACGCTATCGAATGGAATATTATTCCTCACAACAATATTCAAGAGTTTGCTTAAAAGAGGAAAAGAATAATATTAAGATTCTTTATTGTTGTGGACTCGTGAAATAGTGGTTTTATTTTTTTATTTGTTGTTGATTTGCTAATTATAAAATCTAATCAAATATGTTAGATTATGTCAAAGATATTGTTTCAAAAAGTGTGTTTTGGTTTTATACAGTCAAACTATTAAAAAAAAAATTAGCCTGGGAGTTGATGCCGCAATTACTCATAAATTGATCCCGATCCATTCAGTTTTACATTATGATAGTAAACTTGGGTTTACAAGTTGGAGATGGCAATTAAAGAAAACACATTATGTGGTATCATTTCCAATCAATCTCAAGAGGAATGAAGGTGAAAGTGTGAGCACAAAGAGTGAGTCACAAGGTGATGTTCAGTCTCTTACCTGCCAGCACTGTTGAGTCTGAAGCTTCATTCCTCCTCTATATCTGACTCTGGATATAGACATAGCATGCAAAGCATGGGCCACAGAATAGACAGCATTGTAGATGCTATAGCTGTGGCTAGTCATTCTCATTTCAAAAAAAGGTCCAGGAAGGCTCTCCAGCTTCTCCTCCCCAGTGCAAATATCTCCCTCCACCTTGCCCCCACCTGTAGGGAATTCACAAACAAAAGCCTGTTGCCAAAAGTCCTTGATAAATCCATCTCCTGTTACGCTGGAAGGGTTTCTGTCCTTAACAGCCTCGGAAAATGCTGGGAGGTCATTGGAGTGAATTGTAAATAACAGAGAACCATGGATTAGTTCTGTATCCCATGTCTTCTGATAGACAAATGAAGTGAGCTCCACCTGGGCAGTTGCTATCCATACTTTGGGTTTATTTGCCACATGTTCTAATTCTGATAGATAGTCAAACCATCTATAAATTGTCAAAGAATAAGATTCACCATGGATCACTATTACATTGGCATTGCTGTCCATGATTCTGTCGCGTATTTCTGCCCCCCGGACAAACATTTCCAAAATTTCTGTGACTAACGTTGGTCTGGGAATTCTTTCTATGTAGGCCAAACAGATACCACTCTGGGCAAAAAGTGGAACCACACTTTGCACAAATTGTTCTCCATTGTCGGTTTCCATAACACTGACCCCAATCCACATCCACCTGAAATGTAGAAGCAAAGAGAGAATTCCCTCATACTGGAGAGCTTCCTTAGGGACCATCTGGTAGAAGGAAGCACTTGACACTTTACTATTCATCACTGGAGCAGAGCCATATATGAGCTAAACAATGTTTGGGCAGAGAAGAGAAAGAATTTGAATGACATTGTTTTAACAATACAGTTTTGAATGTTCAAAGCATGACCACATGTTCCTATATGAATCAATTATTTCTCACCTATGAATATGCTTGCCTTTAACATTTACTGAGGCATTACTACAAAGTCAAACTGCTGCACCTGCCTCGCATCTGCAGAACTTCCTCCATGAAAGATCCACTTCTTAACTTTTTTTTTTTTGCCTTGGTTCTTGTAAGCTGCTCCTAATAATGTAATTTATTTTACTCCAATTGTTCTCTGTCACTTCTTCCTTTTCATCCAGGTCTAGCTTTTTTTATTCATAAATCATCAATAATGTATCCTTAGCTTAGATCTCATATTTAAACAAGCTATATGGTCCATTTAATCACTAGAAATGCCCACATTTCCACTTCCAAACAAAATCCTATCCTGTCTCACTCAGAGGGAAAGAAAGAAAGAAAGAAAGAAAGAAAGAAAGAAAGAAAGAAAGAAAGAAAGAAAGAAAGAAAGAAGATACCACCTGTGGAATATTATACATATCCAAAACTACTGCCACATGAAGCGAAGTTTGGGAGTCCAGTCCCCCAATGGCTGCTATCAGATTTTTCTCAGTATCACATATGTAGTTGGGGACAAACTTGCTCAAGGCAGATATAAGAAGCATTGTGGCATGGTACGTCCACTTGGCATTGAAATAGCTGTCATAAATAAGGAGCCCCAAAGTGGTATTGGGTAAGATCTGATATTGAAGCTTGCGGTTAGGCATTGGATTCATGTGTTGTGATGTGTTAAGGGCTAGGTGGCGGTTAGGCATTGGATTCATGTGTTGTGATGTGTTAAGGGCTAGGTGTGGCCATCGCCTATGCTATCTACCGTGGGTTATTCCGTTAAAGGAATCCGGCGGTCGTGTATTCCGTCCGATGCCTGCTTGGCAGGAGGCCATGGCACGACCCTCGGTGACATCAGGGGGTGAGCCTATAGTTGGATGAGCATCAACAGGCTCCACCTACTGTTGAATAAACCCACCACCTATAGTCATCCAATGCCTAAGCCAATACCTTTTCACTGCTGTAATCAATAAAGTTGTGGCCTTTTCTTGCCCATTAACCTTATACCACGTGTCCATGTATATTTATTTCACTTAGCGGGGCCGGGGCCCTCGATCCACAAGGACTCTCCTCCCTGCAAGAGAGGGGAGTGGTTGTGGGCGGGAGCCCGGACTCCGCCCTGGCAGGGGCCTTAGCCCCTGCCCCTCCTTACCTGGCCGGCCGGCGCCCACGCCCACCGGGGGCAGCCAACCAGGTGCCTCCGAGGGGCGTGTTCAGCAGCTTAATGCTGCGGCGCCGGCTTCTCCTCCCCCTCAGTCCTCGTCGACCCGCAGCGAGTCACCCACCCTCCACTCCCTTTTAGCTCAGGGTCTAGGTTTTTGGCCTTGCTATGGACCTTAGGTTGGTCGCCCCGGTTGTCTGGGGGCCTGGTAGGAATTTTTCCATTTGGCATTCGGCTTTTTGGTTTTTTCGCCTACCTCGTAGCAATCGTCACAACTTTTGTGGTATTGGTGGGTAGGTTAGGCATTGGATTCATGTGTTGTGATGTGTTAAGGGCTAGGTGTGGCCATCGCCTATGCTATCTACCGTGGGTTATTCCGTTAAAGGAATCCGGCGGTCGTGTATTCCGTCCGATGCCTGCTTGGCGGGAGGCCATGGCACGACCCTCGGTGACATCAGGGGGTGAGCCTATAGTTGGATGAGCATCAACAGGCTCCACCTACTGTTGAATAAACCCACCACCTATAGTCATCCAATGCCTAAGCCAATACCTTTTCACTGCTGTAATCAATAAAGTTGTGGCCTTTTCTTGCCCATTAACCTTATACCACGTGTCCATGTGTATTTATTTCACTTAGCGGGGCCGGGGCCCTCGATCCACAATGCTTATAACATTCTTATTATACACTAAATAACCATTTATCAAAAAGAATTGTAATTTTAATGTTAAATATTTTATGTCCTTACTTTATCTCATCATATGATGGTGGTGGTGGTTCTTCATGGAAGGATATTGGACTGGAGATGATGAAGCTGTGAGAGGCAATGCCACCAATGATGAGGTCTCCTTCCTGATGATAACTGTGAAGTGGAATGTGTGAGTTGTGGGCATTGCATTTAACAATCTGTGGCTTGCATATTGCATGAGGAAGTCCTGTCATCAGCAAGACTAATAATAAAATCATTCTTGATACAAGCCTTCTATTTACACAGAAATGCCCTAATTTCATATAAACTGACTAAAATGGCCTGACGTACTTGGCCATTTAGTCACCTAATATGTGTGAACTGTGGAGTGCAAATGAAAAGTATTGTTTGGTTGATCCTTGCTTCTTCTAGTCCCTAATTCCAGCTCTGACAACTGAAAGGTATATTTGTACCATCATTCACAAATGTCTGATTGGTTTTAGTACTGATCACTGTAACATAACAAAGATTTTTGACAAGCATATGAAATAATTACACTTTTGAAAACCTCTATTCAGATGTGACAAACATGTTTTCTCTAGAGAATTTCCAGTTTTGAATGGTGATTACCTTCCCTTTGGACATATTTGTCACATCTGAACAGATGTTTTTAATTCTACTTAGTTGAATCAGGGGGGAAATTTAGGACAGCAAGGGAAGGAAATAAAAAATTCAAGGCTTTGTTCTGGAGTCAGACAGGAAATAAAGTGTTTGGTCATAGAAATTATTTACTGGTATCTATGAGCTAGAGAATATAAATATGTGGGAGGAAAAATATATATGTGCCTCTAGGGATAAACAGATTTGTCAGTTTTGGTTAATCTCTGTTTTTTAGTTTTACCATTTTTAATTCAGTTCTGCACATTTCTGAAGCAGTTTTTTTAAAATCCTCATGAAAATTCAACAGCATTGTAGTGAAATTTATCCTAATGAACAAGTTCTAAATACACTTTTGACTAATATAAACATTTTGCAAACACTTCTCCTGTAAGGCTTGGGTCTCTCCCACGCACACGAGATGACTCCAGCAGTTAATTAATTAGGATTTATTGGTTCAACAAAAGGCCACTCCACTAATTTCAGTCTTCCTCCGATGCCACAGTTGCCAGGACTGATCTCCGCTCCCTTCTCCCTCAACAGGAAAACCCCCACCTCCTCTTCCTGTAATTTTTGTGCTTCTTGGCTGATCTCGTGAGTCTACGCGCTCAGGATGATTGCACACTCTCTATTTCTATGTCTGTGTCACTATCTGAGCCTTGCAGCTGAATTCCTGCTCTCTCTCTCTCTCTCTCTCTCTCTCTCTGTGTGTGTACAAAGGTCGAATTCCTGTGGCTAACTGCTTCTCCCCCCTCTTCCTCTGTGCCTGTTCTTTCGCTGCTTGTCAGAAAGTCCAGTTCTCTGACATCCCCCTCATTTATTTCATTTTTGTTCATATTGTTTGGTTACTGATACAGAAGGGGGGGCATGTTTTCTTCACCCCTTCCGCCGGTCACCAGAGGGTCCAAGGCGATGACCTCAAGGGCACCCGGCCTACATGGACCCCTCAGCCCCCACACCGTTGCACAAGCACCACACTTAACCCCAAGCCCCATAAATAAAAGTGCCTTCTTCCCTTCCCACGCATGTTCGTTATTACGGGCAAATAAGCCCGAACGCCTTATGCCTCCCTCCCGCTCAATTGTTTCCATTGGTAGGACTGTGTGAAGTAGTATTTTGTATCTCATGAATGGGAGCGTTCTACGCCAATCAGAACATCCAGCCCTCCCCGCTGGTCCCCGAGACAATGGAATCGAAACTCGTAAACTCTGTCAAAATCTCGCTACAATGTATCCAGTTTATTTTCCGAATTCAATTGTCAATGTAAAATGGGCTAAAATCTATAAAAATTCATAGAAAATCAACCGTAGCACCAATTTTCTTGCTTTCGGTGCCAATCTGCCTAATTTCTCTAGGACTTCCATGACACCTCGACTGGTCCTTCATAATCCTCAAGCGAGGTATCACGTACACTCAGGAAGACCCTAATCCCGTCAAATCACTCTGCCAAGCCTTTCCTCCGGGCAGTGCCAGGTGGCAGACTATGCATACCTGGACTATTGTCCTCTCACCATCGGTACTCAGGATGTACTTATCTGTGCATATCTCCAGCTCTGCATATTCCCCTCTCTCCTCCATATGTTAATCCTGTGTAACCCAACCCTTTCTTAATGTATTTATGATGTAACCGTGATGTATTGATGATGATTTTGCACTGTATTCTGGGACATGGAGGGAAGTTTTAAAAGTTCATGTCACCCCATCCTCGGGGTTCAACTTGCCTTGAACCTGTTGCGCAACAAACGTGGATTTTCTGCATCTTGCTCCTGTCTCCGGCTGTGCTCATTTTCTCCGCAGGGACCCGCAGACTTAGTCCGACAAGCTGGGTGGCAGAGCAGTCTCACACCCAGATTTTACCGTAACAGTTGGTAAAAATAAAATAATTATTTTTTATGGTCTCAGAAATTCAGAAAGAGCAAATCACATGCCCTTGTACAAGGAAAGAAAACACAAGCCATGTCAAATCACTCCCCCAACAGTTGAGCACATTTTCATTTTCTAAAAATGTATGGTCAGTAAGCCAAGAGCCAAAAGGCAGGTGCTTTGAACAGAGATGAAAAAGCATCCAAAAGTGGTTAGAAAGTGGTTAGGGAAGCCCCAAACTTCAAGTGAATGTTACAAAGTGAGCCCCAAATGAGATCCTAACCCTATCAAAAGGCCTCATAAGTAAGAAGGCAGTTTTTAGGTCTCACTGTCTGGAACAAGCCAACCAACAGTAAATTACACAAAGTAGATGGAGTTAACTGTTTACTAGAAAAAACAGGTTCTGCACAGGAGTGCCAGGCCTAATAAACACAGCAACTCTTCTTTGGTAGACCTTGGCTCTGTGAAGGAGTGGAGACTGAAGCTCCCTGCCTCGCCACAGCTGTCTAAGGCCCTCCTCTCTCTTTTTTTCTTTGCAATCAGAGATTGTGCCTGCATACCTGTCTTTGTTCCACCCTTTTCATGCTTCTTTTGGTTCTGGGAGACAAAGGTGGAGAGGAGTTATCACAGCAGGGAGAGGAGGCACCTATGCCTCTTTTCTGCCTCCTATCCTACTGACTGCTTTCTGCCTCAAACTCCTCCTTGTCAGGTCTGTAGGCTCTTCCACACATGACAAGCTCTCTGGTTATTTTCTTACTTAGATTTATTAGCAATTAGCAAGCTTTGTACACGGAGCTTCGCTACATTACTCATCACTCTCACTACCAGTTGCCGAAACTAATCTCTTTGGACCGAAACATGATCTCCACCCTTTCCTCTTCCTTTTCCCCATGAGTTGCTTTTCCATTAAGCGACTCCAGCGTCTGCTTCTGGGAGACTCAACCCCCTCCCCCTCTGCAGTATCTTCTCCTCTGTCTGTGTCATTATCAGAATTGGTAAATTGCCTTTCTGTGTGCTGTGACGCCTTCCCCCACCCCTTGGAATTCCTCACTGCCTGCCAGCTCTGTCCTTTCTTCCTCCAATTCTGAATCCTCTCTGTCAAAAGAGGAACGTCTCTGACACTCCTACTCACTAAATTCTGTTATCTATTCAGCTTCCAATGCCTCCCCCCCCCCAGTCTTCTACTTCTCCCTCTACTGTCTGTCAAAAGAGGAACAAAAGCGCATACCTAGAACAAACTCAGTTGGTCTCTAAGGTGCTACTAGACAATTTTTTATTTTTAAAAATGTTTTAATTTTTTGAAAATTATGTTGACCTCATCAGACCAACACGGCTACCTACCTGAATCTTTCTTCATATCAACTGTTGCCTACTGCTCAGCTCAAGCTTCAACAGAATTCCATAACACTCTGGAGAAAATACAGAACACAGCATGACAACACTGGAAGACAAGATGGAAAATATCTGCACAACCACTAGGTACAGTATTTTCCCTTGGAGCTCATATAGCTTAGAACAAAGGACAACCAAATACCAACAAACACTGATAAGCTGAATGTGGTAAATTCGGCTTCCTTGAAACTTTCTGGCAACTTCTGAGCAAGGGAAGTAACTGTGAAACTGATAATGGCCTAAAAGCCCAAATAGTCCAAGGCATGGCAGAACATAGCCACAGACCCCTCATTGAATTGCAGTACAATTTCTTAAGCCATGAAATCCTTGTCAATATCAGGGAATGGTGGAGTGGTTGCCCACCATATTGAACAAATAACTGCTTGGATAAGGGAACAGAGAAGAATAATGAACGTGGCCAGCTTTCACCCCACCCACTTCCTCATCTGAGATCCTGGCTTGGTGGAAGTGTGCATGCACATGAAAGCTCATACCAATAACAAACTTAGTTGGTCTCTAAGGTGCTACTGGAAGGGTTTTTTATTTATTTTGGTGGCCATGAAAGGTAGTACCACTGTGATGGTTTTGGCTAGGACATGGGAAACAGCCACTGATAAGATGGTGCCAAAAAAGCTTGTCGGAGAAGATATGCTACCCTCCGAGGGTGGCCAATGAATAGCAATGCACAAAGACAATTACTATTTCTCTGTAATTTGGAAGTATTCCCACCTAGGGACACCTCTATGATGTATGGTATTTTCTTTTTAATGACCTCATACATGTTAGTGATGGCCTCATAGAAAATCAACTGCAGGTATCCTTCTGAATTAGGTAGGATTCATCCCATAAGTAGGGTGTGATACACTTGAGAATTTAATACAATTCTTCTAAAATTATAAAAATTGTAAGCTGTTCATTTTAAACAAATGAACAAACTCACAGAGCTTATTCTTTGTAACTTGACAAAGTTTATGCACACTGGAGAGATAGTAAGCTTTCTGTGTAAATATTCAAAATTCTGAATTAATAGATGCTATATTTTCATACATATAGATACTGTATTTCTACATAGGGCTTTGTGTACATCTTCCTCCAACATCTGATTAGAGCATACACAATTAATGCTTCATTGGCATGTCCCATTCCACTTCTGACCCTAACTGAAGCATATTTGGCTTTACAGAATAGTACCAATTTGACATGGGAGGATTCAGGACTAACTAAACCCAAATCCAGATGTGATAGAATACCACTCTAAGATTCCTCAATAGACTGTTTTTATGGGCAGATGGGGTTACAGCAAGTGACAAACAAAAACAAATCACTTTGTAGGTGCAGCTCAAGCTGTTCCTGCAGAAGAAGATTCTTCACATTGCTAGCCGGAATTGATGAATAGCAGCAGGCTTCAGTAAGTTCCTACAAGCAAGCTCACACTCTTCTTGAATTC